AACTGCTGGCGGGTTACCGCAAACCGTAGCTTCGTCAGCCATTGGTTTATAGAAGTTATTCTACTTGTCACGAGGTAAATTTACTAAAGACAAGCAAAGTCTTTAATAAACTATCACTAAAGAAAAGCAAAGTCTTTAATAAACCATCACTAAAGAAAAGCAGAGCCTTTAATAAACTATCATTAGTCTAATTTATACGTGGTAGCATTCTGAACAGGTCATAATGATATTGTCATGATAGTTGATATTACAATTTTTTTAATATTGTTGTTAGAATCACTATCTTAGTTAATAAATATTTATAGAGACTATCATCCTTAACAATAATACCAGGATAATTATCGTGTTAGATACATGGATTATTTAAAATGAATAAAGACGTAGTTTACGGCAACAATAATACTGGACTGAATTGGCTGTTACCATTGTGTAACTAATGTTTTAATTCTAAGTATTATTAATTATATGCTGTTAGAATAGGAAGATAACACACGGGTTGATAAGAAATAAAAATTACGTATTTTCATACAGCTCGCACGTTCTATAGTTTATTTAACTCTCATAATAACAACTTGCAGGCTGATTGATTAGATTATGGAAACATAGAACAATTCATTGAACAGGCAGGTTAAAGATTATGTGTTGTATGCAGTTTCTGTGTTTTAGAACTTACATAGAAATATTTTACTGAAAATATCATGTGAAGTATTGACGTTGGGTTAAAATTGATTTTTAACTTTTTCTAAAAGCTGCAAACAGCACTGGGATGATCGTGTTGTAATGGAAAAGGATGTTAAACAAGAATATCTACGTTTTATGAATGGAACATCGCAGAATGTCTTTTACTAACTATGTACGGGGAAGATAATTATCATTTAGTACTATTTTCTTATCTCCACTGTAACACAAAGATTGGCAAGAATAATTTTATCTAATAGAAGTTAGAGTCAAAAAGATAAAATTTTATTCAATACACACTCATTTAATCTTCCGTTTTACAAGGACAAATAACGTACACAAGACATGTTTAAAATTTTATTCTTAAGTTTCATCTTTAAACCCGATTTGTTCCTCGTTCATATACGTTCAAGATGCATTTGATCCTCTCTTGATCATTCCTGTACGTAATTGTAGGTTTTACTCGTAGTTCCTTTTAAATTTCTTATTTTTTGTTGTGTTTAGCGGTTATTCTATACCATATCATGATAAACGGTACTATTTTAGCTGTCGGTTTATCGTATTTCTTTTTCTGGAGATCATATTGTTTCTTCTAGCATGTAGATTGTTCAGCCAGATATACGAATTTCTACGCTTATTATTTCATCCTGTTGGTAATTCTCGACCATTATATCATGTTTATTGATCTTGATTCTAGTATCAGTTCTGAAAGGATCTATAAGATTATCTTTTAATTACCTGTTGTCGTACTTTAAATTGCAAGCTGCTATGATTTCTTGTACTCAGTAAATCCTTATTTTCTTATTACGTTAAAATCTATCACTTTCATCACCATCCTGTTTAACTTGTGCTCACTGTGCGTAATATCATGATACACTTTTTTTCTACGTTTTATTTATGGCGATGCTTATTTTACAGAGATAGAACATTTTCTCTTGTTTAGTTGTTTCTCTTCTAAGATTTGGTGTATATTGCATCATATTTTTGGTTAAAAGTATCTTTTCGTAGCCATACTAAGCTATTTTTCTTATCACGTTTATATTCATTCGTTTTATTGAACAGAATTATATCAGGCTGTTATTGGTTTGTGTTATTAAAAGTTGTTTAAGTATTTATTATAGTTTTAATTATGATTATATTTCTGCTCAATACCTGGTTGTTAGTTGGTCTTTAATACAAAACTATCATTTTGTGTGAACGAGTGGTAATTTTTGATGATTACATTCTTATTATAATTTTGTAGGTAATTACTCATGTTCAGTAATATAAGCTTTCTTTATGAATTCAATTTTAAAATTTCTTTTGCCTCAGATATTTCTGATATTATTGATTTTGTTTATATAAAGATCATTCATAAATATATATTTAGCTCAATAGCTTCTTTGTCTGTCTTTTGGTGTAATAGTTTCATAGTGTTGGTGCATATTCATTGGTTACTTTTACAAAGTTTCTGGCATTAAGTTTTTCTTCAAAATTTTATCAATTCTATTTGTTATATTATCAGACTGCGATATTTTGTCATCATCCGAGACTTCGATTCCGGCATCCCTAGGTACGATAATCGTTCAATTTCTAATTTAACCGTTTCTATTCCTGATTTCATTCTTAGCTTATTTAAGCACCGTTATTTAGTTATTTTGTGTATTATCCATTGCTGGCTGCTATTTCTACATCATCAATTAGATGATTCAACCTATTTCGTAATTTTCGTTAAGTACTCTGACCTGACGATATGTATATTAACTTAGTTCTTGTTATATAAACACCATTTTTAATATAAAAAACAGATGGACTATCATCTTTCAGCTTCCCTTGATTTTTTTCTACTACCGTTCTTTTAAATCTCAGTTTTCCATTTTTCATAGCCTTTTGTACAAATTGTAGAATCCTATTCGATCAGTAATCATTTAAAATCATAATTAAATGTGGTCAACATTATCATTTATCATTTAGAATTGTATAATTTGCTTAATGGTTTAATACTATACGCCTTAATAGCTTGATTAAGTACGTAGACTCTATGGTCCCTTAAAGATTCTTTGGCGTTCTCATTTAACTCACGTTTATAATTCTATTGGTATTGAAAATTTCTCTCTATTTTATTTCTGGGTAGCTTGTATAAGTTATCAAGGCACACTGTTGGTTTGTAGACAACCGTTAATGTTTCCCCTGTTGTTCTAATAGCATGAGTTGTTGTTCACGAGGCCCATCAACGATCCTCTGTCATGAATCTTTTATTACTTGACATCGTGGACTGTATAAGGTCATAAAAATGATTGAAATGAAGGATGAAATATGAAGAGGTAAAATTAATAATGATACGATGTAATAAATGACCTCATCATTAGCACAAAAACGTTAGATTATGATAATAATATTATACTACGATATTATTAAT